CTTTGAGAGGACGCTCACCCATGCCCCTTTACTCACAAGCCAGCTTGCTGTCAAAACTTGAAAGGGCAATAGCAAAGGCTTGTAGTGCGCACATTGGGTAGTTGTAGTCCATGGTGAACACATCCTCAGCCACGCGGCCAAACTGCATCACTATATAGTCAGCTGCAAGAAAGGTCATAAAAAGTGACAAAGTGTTATTTTTGTTTGCAGCCATTAATAAGCAAGTAAGCATCCAACATCATCCTCTGGCCCAGCTCAACAAAATACAAACAAAGCACGTTCACTCATCAAACTTTGCAACACGTATTCATGCAAGTGGGTGTGCTGATATCAGAGGGAGAAGCAAGGATAGGCTGAGTGAGAAACAGTTGTGTGATAAAGGATTAGAAGATTTGTTACTGTCTTCAAAAAAAAATACACAGATAAAAAGTGTTTTTTGCAAGCACAGAGAGCAAATTGCTTCTGTATAGAATGCTCAATCCTCTTACGTAGACCTAGCATCAAGTTTTGCATGTACCAAGAACCAGTTAATTCTATTCCTACTTAACTTCAGTCAAGTGGACAAGCAAGGATAATGAGAAAAAGCATGATTGTGATCTAGACCTACTCATGGATTTCTGGTTTATCATACTCAGAAATTCTTCCTCAACTTTTTTCCCTTTTGTACTCTTTGTCAGCAAAAGGAAATCTCAGCCTCATTCACAGTTTGAAATGTTTCATTGCAGAAACAAGTGTAATTGTTTTACCTTATAAAATGCAGCAAATGCATACACCAATGTTTCAAAGTCAGTGTTGCTCTCAGAGACTGGCACAGCCACTTTCACCAGTTTCCCACATTCCCTTGCAGTCTAAGGATGGCACTGGTGTAGCCCAGTGTGCTCCAGCACCTAGTGACTACACCTGTCTAAAGTGAGCGTAAAGCGAGGCAGGATCACTCCACTTGAGCACTTGTCTTTATCCCTGCTCCAACAACTGTACCTAAGCCTGAGAGAAGAGGGGGCTGTACGTTGCTGGCAGAAAGCAGCACATGGGCAAGGTCCTAGTGACGGTGAGGAAGGCAGACCCAGTGTTCTCAGGGTGGTCTGTAGGGCTAATGCCACAAAGAGCAGTAATGGCAGAGAGGATACACAGTGGGACAGGTCTAACTGCCACTGTCTCCAGCTGGGTCCAGAGTGAACAAAATCACCAAGGAAGGATTGTGCGACAAGTGCTTGAGCAGAGTGGTGCTGCCCCACGGTCCTGCCGTCTGGAAGTACCGCAGCTCTGAGAGCAGAAACGACTCTGAACTGTTGCTCAGCTCGCAAGACAGGCAGCCAAGGGAGAAAACAAGATAAGCACATAGCAGAGTGACCTGTCTCAAGTGTGAACATTTAAACACCCAACCTCTATCAAAGTCGTGGCCACCAGGCAGAGCGGCATTAAGCTGGACCCACGTAACTAAATTAAACTCGCTCAGGTAACAACAGTAAGGGCAGAGTCACCGTCAGGCTCTGTATGCAGCACTGTTTCTACAAGTTACAGAGAGCTGTACTTACGATCATTATCATGAATAATTTGGAAGTTTTTCACTGAGGCCTGCGTGACTCGGCCATGGAAATTTAAAACATAGGACTGGGTGTCATCGTTCCAGACTGGTGTTTTGTTATGCAGCTCAATGACGCTCTCTGTATTTTTGTTCTGCCATCTTGCAAGAAGTGTCTCGTGTTCCTGCACACGGCACAGATAAACACTTCAGTTTAACACTCTCAAAAGTCAAAAAATAAATTAACACAAAAAACACATTCATAAATCCTAGCCCAAAGACTAAACTGCCACCCTCAACCCTCAAAACAAATCTAGGATTAAATAGAGAACTCTGAGTATCTTAATGTGAATGTGCATTCGAGTCCTTTCCACAGCTTGGAAAAGGTTAGTTGTACATTTTGTTATCAAAATACATTATTATTCGTAGTGCTTTTGTGAGTCACAAAACTAGTCACACATCCCATTGTTCTGCAATTGTTCAAATACTGTTTTTTTTTAACCTCTAAACCTTCAGAAATGCAAAAAAAAAAAACCCAACTCTAACTGAAAAAGAATTCAAATAATTTTTATTGTTGACTGATGGTATGACTTACATTTCGTGGCCTAATGGAAACTCTTTCGTGGTCCATATTCATTCCTGGTATGATCACACTCATTTTACGAGGTCCTTTAAACCCCAAGACATTTGTTTCCTAAAAACATTTAGAAAAGAGTTCATCATGTTCTGTATTCTTAAAGTTAATTTCTTCAACAGAGAGGCACAGTGGCAGCCCAAGGAACTTATTTGTTACTCAACTCAAAAAACGTCTTGGAACTCCTACCTTGACTGGCACTGTCAAGCATTCTAGCTTTGTCTTAGAAGCTCCAACAACAGGAAAAATGGAAATAGAGAGGTTTCCAAAAACACTCCTAGCATTGGCTGCCAGCAACCTTAATACAATTTAGAAAAAAAAAAAAAAAATCCCTTTGTTAAAAAAGGATATGAACTAACCAGATTGCTTGGCTACTGCTAGATCCCAAAATAAAGTAGTTTTAATTTAAAAATCATAAAATGCAGTCACACATTTTGATGAGAGACAGAATTAAATATATGGGACCAACTCCATTTATTCCAGAGCCAGGACAAAAGCAAACAAGAAGAAGCTGCCAGTAAGAGCATCTGTTACCAGTGCTGTGGTTTTCAAAGTCTTCAGATATGTTATGCTTAGAGAAGAGCATGGTAAAAACCATACATATTAGCATGAATGCAAATTTTTGAGCTATGATGGGAGAGTAAAGAAATAACATGGGCAGCAAAACCAAATCTGTGGAAAATACAAGCTCTTCCATTAAATATGATTTGATGCCTTTCTGACCAGCTTTCACAAAAGTGCTCCAGTATTGCACTATCATAGAATCATAGAATGGTTAGGGTTGGAAGGGACCTTAAAGATCATCTAGTTCCAACCCCCCTGCCATGGGCAGGGAAACCCTCCACTACACCAGGTTGCCCAAAGCCTCATCCAACCTGGCCTTGAATCCTCTAAAAACACAACCATTAAAATCTAAATAGGCCTGAAGTCTTCTTTTATCTGAGGCTTTTTTTTTTTTCCACTGAAGCAACTAGGGTCAGGTATTTCAGTAAGTCATTATCTACTTTTGAAATAGAAAAAAAAAAGGGCGATATTTTCCAATCCACTCAGTAAAACCCAATTGCCTATTTTAGCATTAACTCCAGTAAATGAAACAGTGACACCTCTGAGAGTCCATCTCCTCATGTTTTGTGCTACTTTTTTTTTTTCCTTTCTCCTGGTCATGTGCATTTTTTCCCCTCTGCCTTTCCCAAGTGAAAGGCTGTGGACACACTCTAAGGAATATCAGGAAGGAAATTCCCATTGGCGCTGTTCCCAGCAATGTACCACAAGATGCCAAGAACTAGACACTCCCAGGCTCCAGCTGCTGTGGCTCTACCACTGGGACGTTCAGAAGTGACATACTCAGATGTCTCAGCTTTTATATATTTAATTAGATTGTCCTGATTTTAAGGAACATCAAACTTTTTAAAATCTCTCTACTTTTGCAAGTAAAACTCCACACATCTCAACTCACTAGAAATATCTGAAAACATCCGCCTAAAATTTACTTGTGCAGCAGTTTTGTCATCCATCAGACCTTTGAAATAACTTTGGTTATTTCAGCAAACCACCTAGAGATTTTACACAACTCATTAGAGATTTTCATGCATGCAAAAAAAATTCACTGAGTTATTTTACTGTATACTCTTGAAGCAATCCAGGTATATTCAAATACCTTCCTAACTACATACATTAATGGGAAGATTCTACCTCTTTTTGGAATCATTTATGTCATGGCCTTTGGCAGAGTAAACCAATGTTTTAAGTTCACTTGGAAGCATATACTTGGTTTTGCATCATGGTGAGACTCAAACTAAAAAGACTGTCAGCACATTTTATAAGCAGGAGAGACTCAGCACAGCAGAAGAGAATTTCTAAGAAAATATTCATGCTTATGCTTATTTTCCACCAACTACTGACAATTTTGGTCTTCTCTGCAATGCTTTACAAACTCTTTTTCTCATCAAGCTGCAGTCCTGATACAAACAATTAATTTAGATGCTGACTGGTTGAAGACATTGTTCAAGGTAAAATTAAATAATAGCACCAAACCACCTCCCTCCCAACAAGCAGTATTATCACTCTGAAAAAACAGACTATATTCTTTGGATTTACTCCGAAACGCTAAAATCTATACTCCTGCCAAATGATATGGGGATGGTTTCTAGTTGCACATTATATCAATCACCAATATATCAAACATTTTATTGGCAAATGCTATCCTTCCGCTAAAATCAAGGAACAGAATTGAAATTCTACAAACATGGAATACATGAGGAAAACAGTAGGGACAAAAGAGGAGCTTTAATTAAAAAGCAGGTAGCTTCCCATCTACCTGTATCCAAATGAAATTAATTCCCCTTATCTCCCATCTCATTCCCTCCTTCTCTTTTATTTCCCTCCTCCACTATTTTGTGTGTGTAAATTCAAGACCACAAATGGCATTATTAGGGGAACATAGGCCAAATTCTGATTTCACATCATTTTAATGCCACTGACGGTCTAGTTTCACGGCTCCAAGTAAGGATTGTTAGCTGTAAGAGCTCTGTTGACTCAGCCAGCACATCACTGATTTAAACCAGCCATGGACTTGTCCCAGCATTGCTCAGAAGCTGTGCTCTGCCTTAGCCCAGTCAGTAAGCTGTCCTGCGAGCATGTGTCACAATGAACTGGACGGAAAGAACACAGAGCCTCTCTCCAGGGTTGCTTTTAAAATCTTACACACTTTCATAAAATGATGTAAGCATTTCTCTATGGTGGCAATAGCTGCCATGATAAAAACTGCGAGGCATATATCCCAACAGCTCCCAGGAGATTCCCGATTTAATTACCCTGATTTTTCTTCAGCCACTTCCCTTCCTGGGCTTGCTTCACACAGCTGTGCCCTGTCCTTAACATATCCTGTAGAAACTATCATTCCATTGAAAGCCCAAACCACAGAACCCACTACTCTGGAGCACAATGCAAGTGATTGAGGCTCAAGTAGAAACATGTCCTTTTATTGCTTTCATGGACCTGAGTCCCACCTCCAAATACCAGCTGAGCTCCCTACCTGCAGAATCTGATGCAAACTGAGCTATGAGATACTACGGATATAAAGGAATCCAGCACAGAAAATCCTGGTACAAATGGTACAGTTACACCTCCCTGCTTCTCCATAAATTTTGCCAAGCGATTCTGAAATCAGCCATTAGGTGCTGCTGCAGGTTTATTAACATGCTGGCCTGCCATCAGCAGCCAGCGTAAAAACGGTTAACGGCACCCAATAAAACTCGCTCCTTGCACTAACTTTATTCCTGTTGCTTGAAACATGCCTCAAGGTGAGATCCACAATGAGGGTTCCCAACACGTTTATCCCACTGTAAACAACCGCTACATCACCAGCTTCTGCCTGTAGAAACCAGACCTGGAGATGATTCAGCAGGTCAGGCTCAGTACGTTGGTGGAAGCAGCTCTTGCTCTCCGGATGGGTACTTGATCGGATGAGCTGAGAGACAGAGAGAGGCATAGTGGTGCTTTCAAAGCATTGTTTATTATAGTTTTTACTGCAGGAAAAATCTCGAGGCAGGAATGAAAAGGTTGCCTTAGGACAAGGGTGTTTCAGGAGTGCTCTTTCTGGCATTTTTTTCTGTGGTTCTGCTGCAGCCAGGATCAATTAATCTCACTTTAGTAAACCTGGCTAGTAATAAAATATCATACCAATTTCCTTTCATCCCCTGGCCATAGCACACCTGCAAGCCTGCTGCCTTTCTCCACGAGTATCAAAATATCAATGGAACGAGTCATTTTCTTATACAAATGTATAAGTTCTAAACTGCTGGTCTCAAAAAAGACATATAAAAGCAGCTTATCTTAGCCACATTCTCGAAACAGTGGCCATGTTTCTGTTCTTTCCAATGCTCACACTTCTAATTACCTCTGCTGACTGCAACTGAGTATTTTATTTGGTAATGTTAATGGTTCAAATGTCATGGTTGTTGACTTATACAAGCAATACCTAGGTTTTTTTTAATATATAACTTTTTTAAAAACTATTTTTTGTTTTCTCCTTGTATGACCAGTTTGCACCAGAAGACTAGTTCCCCTAGCTCCAGGGAATGCCCTCCTATATAAACCAGTAAAATCACCTTTTATTAAACACCTAAGTTCTCCTAGGTTCCTACTGAAACTTCAGTCAAACTGACATCAAACTTGTTAAACTTTTTTGTTTAACTTTCTTGTTAAATCCTGTTAGCTGGATCTTCTGAAATTCTCAGAGAGTTTCACATCCAACAGGAACGGAGGGATATGTGTGCGTGTCTGTCTGTCTGCAATGGTAGGCCACGTGCCTGAATAATAGCACATGCGAACACACACACTGTTTATACTATTTTCCCAGAAAAACTACATCCTAAGCAGCAGGAAAAGAACACACTAGCAGTTAATACTGCCATTCCTCAGTGTTTTCAGCACTTTGCAAGGAAAGGATGGTTCTCTGCTTTCCTTTTGAGGTGCCAGAAGCTTCCAGGCGCATTCCTCCCCGCATCCTAAAGCTGACCTTTCCAGGAGCACATTCTGTGCATACACAGGGTCTATGCTGGGATGGCTGGACCTCGATCTGACAGAGCTCCAGGCATCCTTACTTAGAGCTTGGAAGGAACTTTTCAGAAAAGTGGGGTTTGGATATTTTCATCAGAAATTATTGATTTGTGAAAACAGAAAACTTTCTGTAGCAGTGCATGTAAGTATTTTGACTGGAAGAGTTTCTTAGGGACAGAGATTTCTGGACAGAAAGAATACTGTCATCAAAACAATAGTAATGAACTTAGTCATCCAGCAATCATGAAGCAACAGCAACTGTGCTTCAAGTCTTGATTGCCAGCATTGCCCCTGAAAAATGCTATTCACTGTCCTATAAAAAAGCTGGTTTCTCTCGCTTAATTGAGTTCTGGATTTTGTTTGGGGTTTGCTTGGGTTTTTTCCTGGTAAAAAGGAGTTTTCGAGTTTTTGTCCCAGTCTCTCAGCCACTGCTGCAGACCTAGCCGTCCAGCTACCTGTGTTGTGGATCAGAGAGGCCTCCTCCAAAACACCATTAGAAAAGATCATACTTCAGTGCAATGATTCCATGTGCACAACCCTTTCCAGTTCAGGAGGCTCCCTTGGATGGTGCCTGCAGGCTGTGAAGCATCCTACCCCTTCCAGAGGGTTACGTAAAAGCTCCAACACCCTCTGACCAAAAGTGCGAACTGGGCAACCTGGTTCTGTGCACGTTTTTCACCTCTACTTTCCACTGAATTTCCCAGTTTCTCCAGTGAAGATCAGCTGTTTGATTACATCAAAGTATGAATACTGATTTACATAATCATAAGTGAGAAGGAAATTCAGTGTGCTCTTTCAGAAACTGAACTGCCCTTTCTTGTATATTTTGCCTGTGAGCAGTACTTACGTAACAAATAGCAGCTAGCTCCTGACGCAGGATACTCGCCTCCAGGCTTGATGTTGTTTTCATTGGATTTACTCCATTGTCATAAACTGTAAACTTAGTTCCCATAAGATTTGATCTATCAAAAAAAAAAAATGGAAAATCCAATTACCACTTGACAGTAATGCTGCCCAAGACATCTATCCTTTACTGCATTGTAGCCTCAAAGGAAGGACAGATAATACAGAATACAACTAGTTGTTAATGCTAATCCCAACTACATAGCAACTCCTGGATTGAAGGTCATAACAAAAATGTAAAGGCACAGTACAGCAGAGTATACTAAAGGTCCCTTATTACGCTGGACACTTCTCATGGCATCTTGCAAACTAGTAAATTCAAGAAAACAATAAGGAAACACTCAGGTGGGGTTTTGTTTGTCTGCTGGGGTTTTAAAATATGTTTACTTTGTACAAAATTATCCGCTTTCTTACTTGACTACTAACTCTATTAGAATACACAGAGTGCTTTTTATAAAGTTATAAGTAAGGGAAGAATATAGGTCTGCTGTCAGAGGACGTAGGGAGGCAACTAGGAAAGCTAAGACCTCCTTGGAATTAAACCTTGCAAGAAAGGTCAATGACAACAGAAAGGGCTTCTTCAAATACATTGCAGATAAAACTAACACTAGAGGCAATGTAGGCCCACTGGTGAATGAGGAGGGTGCCCTGGTGACAGAGGATAAGAAGAAGGCAGAGTTACTGAATGCCGTCTTTGCCTCAGTCTATACTGCTGGAGGCTATCCTGATGAGCCCCAGAACCCTGAGGCTCCTGAGGAAGTCAGAATAGAGGAGGGGTCTACCTTGGTTAATGAGGACTTAGTTAGGGACCAGTTAAGCAACCTGGCCATCCATAAATCCATGGGTTCTGATGGGATGCACTCGTGGGTGCTGAGGGAGCTGGCAGACGTCATTGCCAGACCACTCGCCATCATCTTTGCTAAATCGTGGGGAACGGGAGAGGTGCCTGAGGACTGGAGGAAAGCAAATGTCACTCTGGTCTTCAAAAAGGGCAAGAAGGAAGACCCAGGTAACTATAGACCGGTCAGCCTCACCTCCATCCCGGGAAGGATAATGGAACAACTTATCCTTGGTGCTGTCTCTAGGCATATCAAGGATAAGAGGGTCATTAGGGGCAGTCAACATGGCTTCACTAAGGGGAAGTCGTGCTTGACAAACCTGATAGCCTTTTATGAGGACATCACCCAGTGGG